TAACTTCATTTCTATCTGACTTATTCACTGCATAATGTTTGATGTATGTGATTCAGTCACTTAGATATATGCCATGCGTGATACACGCTTAGGCGATTATATATCTTTCGATACATGACTGACGAGGCTGATTTTTTCCCGCAGTAGGTTGCCATTTCTTTCTGTGGTACTCCAATTGCCATCCAATGCTATAGAACCCAGTCTGTTTTGCTATTTACCCATAGCTGGGGGGAAAAGAAGAGGATTCATACCTCTCCCAAGGGTAATAGCAAGTGAATGTAATCGATTAGTATATGATTAATATACTTCAATTAATTCTGACAATAATAATAATAATAATGGAAAAAGTAAATACACTTTATATTGTTTTTTTTAAATCACAATGTTATGTGAATGACAACCTTACATGCCTATATATATATATATATATATATATATATATATATATATATATATATATATATATATATATATATAAACAGTGTGACTTACATCTGTCATCTTTTGATTTCGTTAGATGTAATGAGGAGGATGATCCCACCGTCTGGTCTGGCCTGCTTTCGACAGCGCGGCTATAGAGAGCTTCACATGGTTCAATTAGTATTTGAAGAAATGCACATCTTATCGTTCAAATTTTCTTGAAAGCTGACCTCTGCTCAAAATTCCCGATCAACCCAACTCATAAATAATTACCTTAGTCACAGTACCACATCCTTTAGACGACATACCTTACACCTATCCGAACAGCGCACCATTAGGACTAATTTAAACACACACAAAACTTACTAATAGAACATACTAGTATAATAACCTCATACACATGAAAAAGAAGATTAATATAAAGTATAGCTCTGTTAATATAGACGCTTACATTCATGTCTTCGGGGTACACGAGCAAAAGGCTCGTCAGAGCAGTTGTCATGAAAATATTTGTAGAAAAGACAGAGGGAAGTCGCTGAGAGAAATTGCATGAAAAAAAAATCCCACTAGCAATATTTCTCAAAAGTATTTTTACTGAAGAATTTAGAGACACATTGGATCAACCTGATTGCTGGACTAGAGGTTGGATCTTTCATGCCTTAGTAGCCAATAGACAGGAGGAATATGTCCCTCCAGAATTAATATTGAGGTCAAGATGCAGAGAATTATTGAAAGTTCTTAAACAAACTTTTCCTTTTTTTATCTATGCCGGTTTTAGCCAAGAGACATTTTGTTAAAGGCCATATTAAAGCAAGATAATGTCCTTCTATATTCTGTCAATCCGGCTATTGCCCACCTTGCCACCAAAAATAAGTCAGTCAAAAGAGACCAAACTGAGAAAATGGACTCGAGGCTCAAGAAATATTAATTCAGTGATAAACATGTGTCGGTAAGTGTCATGTCGTTATTTTCAAGTATTGCCTCATCACGACATCGAGTCATTTTTTCCAATTATCCTTGTTACATTTAATTGAATGAAATTTTACTAATGTTGAGCTGTAATTTAGGATTAAGGCTTCGCGTATTTGTAGTCGTTTTTCATGTGTTATAGTACTTTCATGCAGCTGATGAATAAATAAAATAATAATTTTTGTCTGATTGATTGTTGTGTATTGTGGCTGTTTTTTTTTGTTGGTATGCAAATTAAATGAGCAATTGTCGTAGAACAGGCAACCTATATATATAAGTGCTCATATCAAAATCTGCATAATTTTACTGAAAGTGAATCTTTGCAAAGAATGAAATAAAATTGTACTTTATATCTTGAAGAATTAAGTTCATAAAAAAAACAAAAATTATTTTTGATTCAACCTAAGAGTTTCTTTCATTCTTATCTGTGTCCCATGATCTTCATTAGATTTCTTTTCATTTCACACCAGGCAAGGCAACAAAGCCACTAAGACGTAAAGAGTTACTAAGTGTGATAAAATATGAGAAAAAACAATATTAATGAGAAAGAACAACAAAAGGACATTAAAAAAAACAAAAATTAAGAAGACAGAAGCTAACGATTGTCATTGCATTAAAATTTTTGAAGATCAAAATTGTCTGTAAAGCAAGAAGGTGGAAGAGGTTTCACAAACGAGAAGAAACTGTTAGCATAGAACTTACGGTTCCATCTAATCATTTTAACTGTAAAATGATGAGACCTTTCCGCCAGTTTAGTACTGCTCTCAAATTCACAATGTCTAGGGGCCATAGTGGTAAGTTTATCATAACAAATACCATGAATATATTTTTAGAAAAGGCAGAGGGAAGCTATATTACGTTGGTGGGAAAGAGGCTGAAGCCGAGATCCCAGGTCAGGATCAATAACAGTGCAGATTTGTTTATTTCCCAAACCAGTATCATTATTTAGCTGATTCATATAAGTTGTAGTCGTTCTCTATGTGTTGTGTGTTTGATCTTCCAAGAGTACTTTACATAACAACTCTTATTTGTTTCCACTAAATATATTCAGTGAATAGTCACCTTCTACTCTGTAGTGATTCCATCAAGCGTTATAATTCTCCTTGTTTGTGTTTTTTCCCATGATGCACTACGCATATCCTCGAACATTTATGTACACCCTTGTGCAAATTAATTGAAACAACCACTTTAGTTTCTTTTCTTTCAACGTACGGTTAGTTTTAGACCCATTGGAGTGACAGGGTGTAATCGATTTCTATTTTTTCCTCAGATTACGTAATTTGCAGTGGTGTGCAGTAATATGAATCTATTTTCTGGTTGTATGGAGAAATTTGTTTGGCCTTGAAAATATATTGCGTCATCCGTGATTGCATCAGATTTTTATTACGCCTATACACTATTTTCTTGACTGTTGATTAGTTGTCCTACAGACATTGTCTGCGATGGACGTTATTCCAAGGAAGCATAAGAAAATTATAACGCTGCACGAGCACAATGGCAAGTAAGCAAATCAAAATATTATAGAGTGGCGCGAAAACTCTCCTGATTTAAATCCAATCGAGAATCTGTGGTCAATCTGCAAGGAACGACTTTGTGAAATGGATTTACGAAATACTAACATGTACACTGGGTCATGATTCATTAGAAAAACGTAAATAAAAATGAAATTATTCGTTTTATGTGCAACAATGACTAGCAGTCAATGATTACAAGAGGTACACAATTATCCAAAGTCACTTGTCGAGGGAGGCAAATGTCCAGTACGCAACTGTTTCTCGAACCAAATAATGCCTTTGGTTGTTACATATATTCGTTCGTTTTTTTTTTTTGTTTTCTGACGTTCTGCGAATGATCTCGAAGAATAATCTTTGGTAATATGTTTTGCTTCTTCGTAACCCTGGTCAACCTGTGAAACTGTTGTCTAACGTTAATAAAATTTTATTTCAGATTCGACCTCCCTTTGAGATAAGATGGCAAATAGACAAGAATGATCACGGTTGATATCGTCTCTTTGCTTTTAATCAAAGTCACAAAGCTGCCAAAGCTGATCGAGATATTTGTGCCGTGAAAGGAGATGACTTCATTAGCGACAGAATGGCACAGAAATGGTCTTCCTGTTTCAAGGAAGAGTTCGAACACAGATACTCAACATTCTAGACGACGTGTTCATATTCATGAGAACCAATTTCACAAGCTGAAGAACTCCGCCAGGTCTCTAGGTTATTGGCCCAGAAAATGAAAAGCTCTCATTTTACTGTCGCTTGTCATGTTCTATGGCCAAGTCCAGAAAGACAAAGTATGCGTACGACACGCATTGAGCGTGAGAAATCAACACTATCCCTCTTCTATTTGCGCCAGTTTTCTCGCTTGGCAACGTGGATACAAAGTAAGTGATCGGTTGGTAAGTTCTGCCACACGAACCATATTCTTCATATTTAGCCCTTTCAAACTACCACCTTTTTCGATCGCTAAACATTTAAGGGAAGTTTCGTTCAACAACGATGTCGAGCATAATTACTTGACGAATCATTCGAATCAAAACCTTGTGATTTCCATTGTCAACGTGGATAGTTGAAGTTTAGTTTACAATAGCGGAGGACAACATGCTTCAACTTCCACTGCACCTCGAAAAATCTTATTTTCAGATTGTCTTGGAAATTCCACTTTCATACTTTTTCCATTTTATTTCGAGCACTCCAGACACTCTCAGTTTTGATCATGTCTTTTATACTTGAGTGACTCCAAGCACTAAGGTACTTGAAGTCATCTGCTTGCTTCACTTAACTTCCATCTAGTATTATAAATTTACCTTAGAGTTGATTGTATAATATACTCAGTATTCTTGCAATTTACATGTAAGTCTACTGTTTCTGTTTCATTCTCCTATTCGAATGTGTCGCTTATCGTCTGCAATCGATTAATGCATATCAATCACATTTATTGGTATGCTGGGGCTTGTTTATCTATGCTACTTGAAAGCTGCTTACCAGTTTTGTTTCGTTTTGTTTTTTGTTTTTTGTTTTTTACATTGAGCTTTGCTACTCTACGTGAATAAGGTTTCGTCTGGCTTGCACCCATTGACGACCTGTCTGGTTAGAGATAAATATAGACATTAATACTTCGTGGCTGTCAAAGAATTTCGCGTACTCGAAAGTACTGACGGCAACAGAACTGTGTTACGTCATTTATGTAAGTTGAAATTGTTGTCTTCAAAATACCATTCAACTTACTGGGTTTTTTAGAGCTCTTAAAACGACTATGCATACCAAAGGGAAATATGAAATTATTTCAACATAGATAGATAGATAGATAGATAGATAGATAGATAGATAGATAGATAGATAGATAGATAATGAAGAGACTATGATAGATAGATAGCTAGATAGCTAGCTAGCTAGATTGATAGATAGATAATGAAGAGACTAGGATAGATAGATGAATAGATAGATAGATAGATAGATAGATAGATAGATAGATAGATAATGAAGAGACTATGATAGATAGATAGATAGATAGATAGATAGATAGATAGATAGATAGATAATGAAGAGACTAAGATAGATAGATAGATAGATAGATAGATAGATAGATAGATAGATAGATTGTCACTTCTTGACAGAAGAAGGTCAACTCTTTTTGGATTGAGCTGCAGTGATCACGTGAATGAGTGAAAAGCCCCGCTCCAGCATATATGACATAATACTTGTGTATTGTGTTCGGGTTTTTCCGGTCGTTATGCATTATAATGCAACTGCTCCTAACCCGCATGCTTTGACACAAAAATATTTGCTGAATGGCTGCCAACGTAATCTGGGATTGAAAAATACACCACATACACACATATACAAAAATTTGATCTATTTATAATAAAAATTTAATCCTTTTGTAGAAACCCATATTTGTTGCTTCAAGTTTCCTCTTGCCATATAGAATTTATATTGTGTGGCAGTTGAGCACATTTTCCTGTTTCATAATTCATGGTTTAATTTTTAGAAGACATCTTTTGCTGTTCCAATGGTCACTCGGATTTCTGTGTCAGATAGAGTATAAAGATATTTCAAATCTTGAAAATGCCTATTCATAATCCTTCCTTTTTTTTTTTTTGTTGGCAAAGAAGGGAATAATAAACCAAAATTCTAATAGATTAGGAAATTTATTAATCATCTATTAGAATTTTAGTAAAGAATGTTGCACATTTCATTACCCCTTCCTCGCCAAAAAAAAGGTAAGATTCTGAATGGGCATTTTATATGGTTTTATCCGGATTTATTCTTTATGGAGTAATGGATAGCTATGGGTAAGTATATTGCAGTAGACCAGATGCCTTGGATAGCAACTGGTCTACTGTAAAAGGAAATGGCAACCTACTGCGGGAAAAGTCTGCCTTGTAAGTCATGTATCGAAACATATATGGTCGCCTATGCGTGTACCACATAATTGACTCTTTCTGGTATTTCGATGGTAAGTTGGTTTTCAGCAATGTCCATTTCCTTTCAAAAATTCACATGTATTCAAAATTCCCAGACGGTTACCTAAACGGCCGAAACGTTGTGATAATGACAACAAAGATGAGGAAAACCGTCCACATGTAAATAATGCGGTGTATACTGGACATTTACGTCCCGGAGAATTGTGTATCCGACAATTGTGTCCCTAGATATTTGCGTCCTTAGACAAATGTGTCCCTGGATAATTGCGTACCTATGATAATTTTTTGAAGTAAGCATTTTTGTAATTGTTTAATGTAGAAATTTGCAAAATAATATCTTTAATTACTCTAAACAAGTAGAAAGGTAGTAATCTCTATCTATAAAAGGCAGGATGTGTGTGTGTCTGTGTGTATGTGTGAGTGTTTGTGTAAAGAATGCACCGCCACAATTTCCGACGGATTTCCATCAAAATTATCATGCACATGCTCCAAGTTAGCGAGAAGGCCAAGACCGACTTTGCATTTCCCAACTCCCATCGAATAGTGGAAATAATCGATTTTTTCATGCTTCTAGGGCACTTTTCATGTAGTTTGCGGCCATTTTGTACTGGGCAGAGTGAGAGCCTATAGCTGGCTGCCACGAATAGGCAGGAAGATTCTATTGGCCAGCGTGAGAACCAACAGCTGACTGACATGAATGTTAACTAGCATGCTAGCATGCAAGAAATTCGATAGCTGCATTCGTCACAAGTGGGAAAAATTTAAATCTGCATGGCACTTTAATCCAATTGGCTCATTCGCTTGCTTAAACTCAACGTTGATTCTGATTCCGCAGAACTGGGTTGGGTGTGAAAAAGTATTTGTTTTTAACATTCTTTTTTCATTCGGTTTTTCCAGTTACGAGTCCTTTTTTAAAGTTGATAGTTTTGTGTTCATTTTGTTTAGTTCTTTTTTTCGTAACAGATTTAATGTTTAGTATAGAGCTTAGAAAAAATTCGCAGTGTGATATAGGCAAGAAGTAAGGCATGTAGCAACATCAGCACGGCAAAGGGCATTTCTTTAAAGGCAAGGAAGGGCAAAAATATTTTAAGTCAAGTGATAGCGATTGCTGTATGAGTCGTACGATTTTTGAATCAAGTACGGGCAACGCCGGGCCATGCTGCTAGTTGAAGATAAAACAATTTATTTGCAGTTCTTAAATAAATAAATAAATAAATTTGCCTAAGTGCTTTTGCGTTTAATGAAGCATCTTCATTATTCATTTTTCTCATATTATCTTTCTTTTCTGCTTTTTTTTCCTGCGATGTCCAGATCGTTTTTATTCTCCTCGAACTTTACGCAAGCTGTAAAGATCGAAAACAGATTTGAACGATTTTTGAATCAAGCACGGGCAACGCCGGGCCATGCTGCTAGTCATAAATAAAAAAGAGCGGAAGTTTTCTGTTTTAAAACAAAAGAAAATTATCTGTCTATATTAGGTATTATGTACACTATTTACATTATTGGGACTATTGTCCTCATCTTTGTCGCCGTATTTATTACAACGTTTCGGTCGTTGTACGCTCCGGCCTTCTTCAGGTGGTTGGAATGTCGAACTGAACCCTTTATTTCGTTCACTGGGGTAGACTGTTCTAATATCACGTGCCATGTTTAATATGGGAACCAATAATAAGGAGTGCCATGATCTAATTAATTTCTTGCAAAAATCAGCAGTAATTCCCTCCCATTCATCTTTCAATAACTCCCATAGGTGATCCTGGTTTTTCGGGTTTCTTTTCTGAGCCCTTTCTCCAATTATCTTCCAAACATTTTCTTTTGGATTCAGGTCGGGGCTCTGGGCTGGCCACTTCATTATGGCGATTCCTTCTTCTTCAAATAAAAACATAACCTTCCGAGCCTTGTGGCAAGGTGAATTGTCCTTCATGAAAATAGGAGATTCATAAAGATTATGGTGTAATCTTGGTACCACATGCTGCTGAAGAAGCCTTTTGTAAATCTCAGCATTGATATTGCCATGTACGCGGATGATAGGGCCCAACTCCTGCAGATGAAAACATTCCCCACACCATCACACTGCCGACACCAAACTTAACGGTTTTCTTGACACATTGAGAAGACAGTCTTTCACCTGTTCTATGGCGTACGTAAGTTTTGCCCTCAGAACGAAATATAGTAAACTTGGACTCGTCACTGAAATGAAATGTATCCCATTGTGCGTCAGTCTAAACAACATGTTCTCTCGCATACTCCAGGCGTGCCCTTTGGTTTCGCTTTGAAATGAGAGGCTTCGAAGCTGGAATACAGGCAAGCAACCGTTTTCCTTGAGATCTTATTATTTGTCTCTTTTTTTAAATTTACAGGCAATTGATGTAAAGTTTCAAAACGGTTTTTTGTAGATATTCTAACAATTCTTCGATCTTCTCTTTACACGATGTTTTGGAGGTCTGCCGGTTTTGATTTTGCATCTAACGTTTTATCGGTTTTATATCTGCTAATTACACGATGAACGACACTTTTAGACCTATGAACAATATCAGAAATTTCTGATATATATATATATATATATATATATATATATATATATATATATATATATATATATATGTGTGTGTGTGTGTGTGTGTAAAATGTGTATGTATAAAATATAAATATTCTGTTTGACGATCGCAAATAGCGTGAAACCTAGAGTCACAAACTCACATCAATCCAACTATATATATATATATTTAATACAAATATATAATACTATATATATAACAGTATATATAATCGCTATATATATATATATATATATATATATATATATATATATATATATATTTAATACAAATATATAATACTATATATATATAGTATATAATATATATATATATATATATATATATATATATATATATATATATAACTCGCTGACAAAGGGTGGAAACATGTATAAAAATTTATTACTGACTGGGCGGAAGTTACAGAAAATCTTTCATTATCTTCTACGCCATCCATCGTGACAGGCAAGTTAGGAGATATTTTTGTATGATATGTTTTCACGAGACAGAGAACAGCTTTCATTCCTTTCCCAAGAGTGTCAGAGCTGAGTGATTATAAACAGCCTCGTTCGAACTTCGAACTTGTTTATAGGAATGTGTTCAACGCATGCGTACACTTCAACTCGGCATCTTTTCTGTGAAGATCTTTAACGATGTTGTCATACATTCTAATCAACAGAAAGGCAGATATGGCTATAGTCTCCGGCGCTTTTAACATGGATCTGTTAAATCTATCGCAACGCTCTCTTTAAAATCAGAATATTTCATTTTTTTTCTTTTTCGTTCGAGTACGCATTTATGTTTTTTTTTTTTTTTTTTTTTTTATGTTCTTCGGCGTTTACTGTGTTTCTGTCTGCCTCTAAAGTTGTCCTAAGCTGAATTTACCGATGAACTGTTATTCTGGAAACGACCCTTGGATCCCACATTATGTGGCTTAGACAATCAACAAGTGTCATCTCTCACAATCTACACTAGTCGAAAAGTTCGGAGACCCGCCCTATGGATTTAATAATTAGTAAGTTTCATACTTTCTTTGGTTTAATTAACTCCTGCTAAGATAAGGATGCTAAAATCATTTACCATATTAGTTCATAACATCCAATCTTTTCAGAGGTGATTACCTAAAATTTAAAATGCTCCATCCTTAAGATTACCATTAGATAGTAAGTTAGATGCGACAAAAAAAAAACAAAAAAAACAAAAACAAAGCTAAAACCTTAAGGAAACTCATTATTATTATTATTTCTTTTACTCATTTCCTTCCGGGTCCCAACCAGAGACCTAAGGTCAGAAATGGCTTCGTGACATTTTCTAATGATTGTTTTTGTAAAAAGATAAATAAAAAAACTAAAACCACACACATGAAGTCTTTTATAAGGTGTGAGCTGTACTTGTGATAACAATTTATTATTTTTTTATTATTATTATTATTAATGATTAAAAAAAATGCACGTTAGCAGGGTGAGGCTGGGGTACAATATATTCATACCACTAACAAAATGGTATGCTGACAACTTTAATCAATTAAGATCAGAAGCCATGAAAGCCAGATTATTATTATTATTATTATTCTATTTCCTCTCTTTTCTGTACTCATTTCTTTCCGGGTCCCGCCCAGAGATCTAAGGTTAGAAATGGTATC